CTCACCTGGGCCGCGCGGCCCGCGGGCCGGAGCCTGAGGAGAAGGCTGGGCGGGGTCCCCGCGCCCAGAGTGGCCGGCGGGTCGCGGGGAGCGCAAGTGTCTTCGGGGATGGCCCACGTACCGCTTTGTAACTGAGCCAGTAACGCAAGGTGCCCCCTGTGTCCTCAGCCCTGGACCAGCCGACTTCCTTTCTGGGTCCAGTCCAGGCTCCAGGGCTACAACCCACCCCAAAAGCAAAGTAATTGAAATAGTACCTCGGTTTGCAGTCTTTTCCACACCATATGCACACGGAATTGGATCACTAATTAATAGGTATTGTTTGCTAGAACCTTCGTCGTTTTGGGGCGTTTCATTTCCCTTCAGACTGCACTTTCGGAGCTCAAGTTGATGCTCCTGACTCCTGCCTCACTCCGGCTGTGGCCTGGTTACCGCTCTCTGAAATCCAGAGCTGCCCCCCTCCTGATTCAGGAATGTTCAGACATGTGCACCTGCTAAATAGACTTGTCAAGTAGCATAATGGTAGTGCTCCACTTGCCGGCACATATGGAAGCCAGACGTTCTTACATATACCACAGGACCGCAGAACGCCAAAGACTGACTTTGGACACATTCTCCAAGCGGCAGGCCTCATAGAACTGCAGCCTAGGAAGCTCAGGGAGGGCACAACTGAGGGGAAGACGGGCCAGTATAAAAAGCTAAAATTTACAGGGCACTAAAGTCCCTGTTAAGCAGGTTATATGCATTGTCACAGTACTTGCCATAACTCTATGTGATAGATACTTGCATCAGCATTTTATGGATGAAGAAACAGGCCAAGTTAATCCAGTAGGTGATGGCAGAGCTGGATTTCAGAACAGGTCTGCTTGATGCTGGTAATTTCCTTCTACCACTTACTGCCTCTCCACGTTCTGCTGCCTTATATCTAGAATCTACTGAGAAGAGATGTAGAAAAAGTCTTGATTGTCCAGGACTGGACTCTTACACAGAGATCTTCAGGAGAAGGCTTCTCCCGCCAACATTCCCACACTTGACACATGGCCACAGTGTTTTTCAGCCACATAGGGGTTGCTTCAGACTTTATTCATGCAAAAGGTAAGATGATGAGAGGAAACCAAATGTGGTATGAATAGAGTATGAGTCATGAGACATAAAAGTCATACAAGGAGTCTTGGGAATTAAAGAATTCAGAAGCAAAAACCTAACATTAAATTCAGTTACGCAGATCTTAAATGTTCTTGCCAAAGGTAGGTGTTACTTGGTCAAAAAAACGAAATATATTTTGTAGACACAGACCTGATAGTTAAAAATAAGGTCAGGACATAATAGGGAAACAAAAATATTAGATTCAAGCATGATATGTGCTGTCATAGCTTGACTTGGGGTGAGGCACTTCAGTTTCTCAGTTCCTACATTTGTAAAATGGGAATTATTACTTGTATATCACATGAGCAATGCGATATTCAAGTTAAAAAGTACTACACATTTGTGTGATCTTTTAGGAAATTATTCTGTGGATTTCAGTTTCACAATTAGGCAGTCTATACCACATAAATTTTTTCCCAAATGAAGCTTTTTTCTACCTAAGAACTTACCATAGTCCAAAGCCTTGAAAAAAATTCTGTAAACTAAAAACCACTTCTGCTCCAAGTGTTACTAAATTTCTCAAACTTCTCCTTTCATTATAATTAACTCTTTTCCCAAGAAAAGGAACCCTACCTGGGAAGATGCCTACATCAGGAGTATTTGTTAGTGGTAAGAAAATATTAATACAATTGTTTTCCCTCTCCATTTGTTGGGATTTAAGTGACAGTCATACCCCTGCATAGTATAAAATGTTATTTTTTTAATCTATCTTAAGTATATGAAGGGAAAACACTGCATATGCGCACACAAAGCAGATCTTTTTAAACCAGCTCTTAGGCTGACCATGATGAGGAGATTTATTTATCTGTTCTGATATTACTGAGTTAAAAGGGATAGGAACACAGAAGGACACAATTTGCATGATTTGTTAAAAATTACTAAAAAAGGAAATTTTTATACACTTATTTTGGTGATATGTTTAATGAAGCCAGTAGTATAATTTTAGCAATGTTCATTTCATATGGAACTTCTGATATGACCGATAGAGAAGTGTGCAAAGGGCGAGCCTTCAAGTTGGTATTATATCTTCACAAGATCATATTTCAGCAATAATATTTCTTATTTGACAATTGATACTAACATTTTTCAGGACCACAGTAGTCAAAGAACATGGTCTATATTGTTGCCAAAGAACATAGTCTATAAACTATTAGTCTTTTTTCAGTGTTTTAAGCTCATTTTAAATTTTTGGCATGTGTTTATAAAGAGTGTGTGTTCAGCAGGTCTTGGGCAAGGTGTTCTAAAATATGTCCTTGATCAGAACTTGCCTATGGTTTTGCCATAGCTTGCTTGCCCCAAATTGCAATTATGTGCTATTCCCAAATAAACCCATTTTTTGCTGGAAAAATAACTGACAGTTTTATTTTTAAGGTTAACATTATTTTGGTGATCAGAAATGGGATCCAGAGAAGACCCTCAGCAACTCTGATGCTGGTGAGCAAACAGATGCCACAGAGTCGACTGGGCCCATTGCTTTCTTGCCAACCCTGGAGTTTGAGGGTAAGATTTTTCCTGGATTTAGAGCTCCACTCTCTTTGTGTTTGAGCTCGCCAGGTTTTATTCAGGTTGTATTTTTAAGGCCTATCCTTTCTGAGAGTACTTGTTTGTTCTTTGGTCTTACTCCTTTTTCAGAACCAGATTGTTTCTAGTGGAACTGTGCCTGTTAGAAGTGTGTTGGCCTTGGGCGCCTGGGTGGCTCAGATGGTTAAGCGTCTGCCTTCGGCTCGGGTCGTGATCTCAGGTCCTGGGATCGAGTCCCTCATCGGGTTCCCTGCTCAGTGCAGGGCCTGCTTCTCTCTCTCCCTCTGCCACTCCCTCTGCTTGTGCTCTTCTGTCTATCTCTCTGTCAAATAAATAAATAAAATCTTAAAAAAAAAAAGAAGTGTGTTGGCCTTTAATCCAATTCCTTTTCAGAACCCGACTGTTCCTGATGGAACTGTGATGGCTTTCCGTTTGATTCCTTCTGGAACCAGGATGCTCATGTTGAAACTGTGGTGTTAAGGAATTTTTCTCTTTGCTCTAGAAAAACCTCTATAAAATGGAATCCCACTCATCAAAAATGCTTTGAAAGTAGTGGGTCCACCCACTACTGGGACCCTAGTGGTTTTATGTTTAAAAACTATGGTCCCTCTTCAGTGCATTTCTAACCTAAATGGATCAACTTAACCAAAAGTAATTTAGAACTTCAGTGGCCATGATGGGGAATTTCAATCTCCCCAAACTTAACTTGTTTTTCTTAAAATTAAATTAGAAAGCTGCAGCTCCTAAGAAAAACAAAACAAAACAACAAACAAACAAAAGACCTTGATCAAGTATTATGATGGTGTTATTGATATTTTCTATTACTATGATTGTGCTATTGATATCTTATATAACTGAATTTGCATCTGCTTGGCAATTCATTCATGGGAGAGATGACTTAAAATTTCCTAATATGATGGCAGATTTGTCTATCTTATAGTTCTGTCACTTTTTGCTTTATGTAGTTGGGGTCTGTGTCATCATAAGCAAAGCAGTTTATAATTATTTTATTTGCCTGGCAAATTTATCATTATGTTGTGACTTTCTTTAACTCTAGTAATTCTTTTGCCTTAGCATTTAAATGGCTTTCTTCTGATTAGTATTTGCCTAGTATTTGTATAACTCTTTTCACTCTATTACATTAAAACTTACTAAGTCATTACATTTCAGATTTATCTAACTAGTGTTAATTTTGACTTTTAGTATGGTCTAATAATCTTTGACTCTTAGATCAAACATTTAGATCATTGCATGTTTTATAATTGCTGATATATTTAAATGTATTTGTCATCTAATGTTGTGCTCCCCATTTGTTTTCTTCTGATCTATGTGTTGGGTTTTTTTTTTTTTCTTTCACCATTGCGTTCTTTGGGATTATTGACTTTTTTTTGTTTTGTTTTGTTTTGTTTTAAGATTTTATTTATTTATTTGAGAAAGAGAGAATGAGAGAGAGAAAGCACATGAGAGGGGGGAGGGTCAGAAGGAGAAGCAGACTCCCCCGAGCAGGGAGCCCGATGCGGGACTCAATCCCGGGACTCCAGGATCATGACCTGAGCCGAAGGCAGTGGCTTAACCAACTGAGCCACCCAGGCGCCCCTATTGACTGTTTTTATGCAGCCACTTTTCCACCTAGATTCTAGTTGGGAAGTTATATACTCTATTCCTGTTTATTTAGTGGTTATCCTAGAAATTTTAACTGATTAAATTCAGAATTTATCAATCCATCAACCTTCTCCCAGGCAGCACAAGGACCTTTAAAACACTTTTAAAAATGACTTTCATCAGTCCTGGAAAATTCTGAACTCCATTCTTTCTCCCCTTTCCTTCTGGGACTCTTACTATATACACATTCTCATTTACCCTCTGTATGTCTTAACATTTCTTTCATAGTTTCTTCTTTTTTTTTTTTTAATTTTCCTAGGCTGAATTCTGGATAATTTTGCAGATATCTTTCTGTTCATTAATTCTTTCTCTGGCTGTTAAATCTTCTGTTAAAGCTATCCATTTAGTTTTTAATGTATATTATTTTCATTTCTAAAGTTCTGTTTGGTTATTTTATTTTTTTTTAAAGATTTTATTTATTTTTTGATGGAGAGAGACACAGCGAAAGAGGGAACACAAGCAGGGGGAGTGGGAGAGGGAGAAGTAGGCCTCCCGCCGAGCAGGGAGCACGATGTGGGGCTCGATCCCAGGACCCTGGGATCATGACCTGAGCCGAAGGCAGACGCTCAACCATCTGAGCCACCCAGGTGCCCCTGTTTGGTTATTTTAAATCTACTTTCTCTTCATTCATATTTTTAAGCTTCTCCTTAATTTCTCAAGATATATTTAACATACATATTTTCAATTCTATTTCTGATAATTCCAATATCTGAAGCATTTGTGAGTCTGATTCTACTATCTGATTTTCTTCTGCTGGCTCTTACTTACAGTCTCTTGTTTTTTTTCTTTTGATTTCTTTTTATGTTACCTGATCCTTGGAGTTTTATGTGCAGAAATGTAGTGAGATCTGAAAAGAGGAGTTCTTGGGGCGCCTGGGTGGCTCAGTTGGTTAAGCGACTGCCTTCGGCTCAGGTCATGATCCTGGAGTCCCGGGATCGAGTCCCGCATCGGGCTCCCTGCTCGGCAGGGAGTCTGCATCTCCCTCTGACCCTCCTCCCTCTCATGCTCTCTGTCTCTCATTCTCTCTGTCTCAAAATAAATAAATAAAAATCTTTAAAAAAAAAAAAATGAAAAGAGGAGTTCTCTGGAAAGAATATTCATTTACTCTTGGTAGATGTCTGGAGGGTCACTACCCAGTCAGGGCCCTTTCATACTAAATTCTCAACTTGAAATTTTTCAAACCACCCATGTGAGATCTGGTTTATAGTTATGAATCCTTAGGGGCACCTGGTGGCTCCATCAGTTAAACGTCTGCCTTTGGCTCGGGTCGTGATCTCAGGGTCCTGGGATCGAGCCCTGCATCAGGATCCTTGCTCAGCAGGGAGTCTGCTTCTCCCTCTGCCCTTCACCTTGCTCATGCATGCTTGTTCTCTCTCTCTCTCAAAATAAAATCTTAAAAAAAAGATTTCCCCCCCCCCCTCCAATTCTGCTCCAGTGTTTTGAGACCATCAGTTTCGCTTGAATCCCTTTGGAATGCCAGGTTATGAGGGTATCCTATTGAACTCCTTACATTAGGAAGGTCCTCAAGCCCCATGAGGCTGTAATAACAGGTTCTCAAGCTCGTCTAGCTTAAGAAATACCTTCAAGATGAACAGTGGCTCTGGTGGCTACGTTTACTTATTCCCAACCTGCACCCCCCCACACACACACTACCACCACCAAGTATTCCTTATTTCCTTGACTACTCTTGAATGCATTTAGTACTTTTTAAAGGTTTAATTCTAGGGGCGCCTGGGTCGCTCAGCTGGTTAAGTGACTGCCTTCAGCTCAGGTCATGATCCTGGAGTCCTGGAATCGAGTCCCGCATCGGGCTCCCTGCTCAGCGGGGAGTCTTCTTCTCCCTCTGACCCTCCTCCCTTTCATGTTCTCTGTCTCTCATTCTCTCTCTCTCAAATAAATAAATACAATCTTAAAAAAAAAATAAAGGTTTAATTCTAAATTTTTAGTTGATGTCAATAGAAGTTTTGACGACACATCACAATTGCCTAGTTTTCAATACATATAAAGTGTACTAGCAAGAACTTTTTATCTACCTAATAATATCCAACTTGCTTAAGCCATACCCAAATAGTCCCTGAATAATATATTTTTATATACTAATGGTGTGGGGGAAATCTAAGTTCAGTGCCTTTAGTGAGACACCTGTCCTTCCCAATGTACTGGGATAACCATAAAGGTAACTCCTGGTCCCCTAACCCTCATCCATTTGTACAATGTACCCATGTGGAAATTTGCCTTAGACAGAAATGAAGAGTCACTAATACCCAGGAGTACCTGCCCTGATAGCTCCTTCCCTTTTGGAGTATGGAAAGAGAAACAATATTGTAAACTCTAGAATGGTATTTTTTATATAATACTGTTAATAATGCTTCAACTTCAATAAAACTTAAGTAAACTCATGGGCTGTGAGCCTCACCAATTGTTTTGAATTCCAAACAATTAACTTAGAAATAAACTTTTAGACACAATCCCCTCATGAGTTATAGTCTGCGTGTATCCAAATCAGACATTCCCTAGAATCTAACTCTGTACTGCCTCCTATTAATGTTCTTAGGTGAAATTTATTAATAGTATCACCATCTTCATTTATTATAGGATAAAAATCCTTTATGTAAAGTATTTAATAAGTCAGATTTTCTTGAAGTCCTTAGAAAACAATCTTGAAAATATTTTAGCAGGAACTGCCTTTTAGTATCAGCTCAGATAGTGTTATTAAGAAGAACATTCTCCAAAAATATTATTCTTTTTTATACTTAGCAGCAATATTATGAATTTGATTCTGAAGGTGAAATTGTACTTCAAAATGACATATGCAGTGCTTTTCAAATAGAGAATATTTGGGAGCAATATCTTTCCAGAAAGTATGCTTCCCCTGTTTCTGTCACAACTCATGGCCTATGAAGTTAGCATTCAATGTTAATTTGAAGGCTGACTCTAAGAAAAAAGTTCCAGTTTTGGAGACAAAAAGACTCTGATTATTCCTAACATCTTTATTACTAAATCTGAACATATCCAAATATTTATAAAAATCAAGTGGGAAATGATGATATTTGTTTCTTTTTCTGCTAAACTTTTAGCAAAAAGGATAGTAAAATTCTCAAAAAATAATACAGCAAAGACACTCTCTTTCCCCTGTATTTCAAGTGATTTGCCAAAAATCATATAATCAAATTCTCTTACCTCTGACGAGCTTCTGCTAGTTCATCTTTATCTTTATCTTGACATCTGCCAGACATTGGAAAACTTAAAATAGTCTTTGGAGTTAGGAAAAAACAATGCTTGAAGCAGAGTATCACCAATAGACTGTAATCAGAGAAGACAAATTTTCTTTATGGACTCTTTGAGGAGTCTCACTTGGGTTACAAGAAACAGCAGTGTTTGTGTAACCCTGTGGCAATGCCTGGGAAAGAATCTCCTAACCCCACCCACCAGACACGTCACATAAATAAAAACATCTTTACCATATGGCAATTCCACTCACACCCATTTAATAGTCTCAAGAGAATGTGTAATCACATCCAATGAGCACAACATTAGAATTTACTGGAAGGAAACATAGAAAGGCATCTAATATGACATTGATAGTCCAACAAAATCAATAACCCCTATAAGCAACCCTAATCCTCATATAAATAGGGAAATGATCAAAACAAATTCCTGTAAAAAGAAAAAGACAAACACATTCCTGTATGCCAAGTTATACTTTCCTAAAATATAAGAAAATAACTAGGTAAATATTACATGTACTTAAATCTGATTGATTCAGGGTGGGGGCATTACCTGCCAGCACAGAATTCAGTCAAATAGCAGGTTAAAAGGTACAATTCCACAGCAGAAGATCCTTAGAATGATAAGCAGAGATTCAAAAGCAGAGGTCAAAATATTTGACCACCCCCCCTTTTTTATTATTACAATCAAGGTCACGCTAAAAATAAACAAGGACTGAGAAGTCTCCTTGGCTTCAGAAGTATGGGATATCATCTTATCTCTCTCCTCTTGTCTCTGATGTCAGACCCAAGACATGAGCAAGTATTTGCTAAGAAAACCTCTGCTTGTCATCTTTTCTGGGAAAGAAGGAGCAGCAGAATGAAACTGATAAAGGTCTTAGTTTGTTGGAAATTTGCTTGCTTTGTAAGAAGGACCTCGGTCTTACCTGCTTCTCTTCATTCACTATGCACAACTGCAGTTAGTCTCCTCTGCCAAGCAGGATAGCTGAACTTGGTGGAGTGGGACAGAGGCATCTGGACCCACGACTAAACCTGATAGTCTGCTTGTGACTTAATGGAACCTCGCCATGTGGACTGACCACTCTTTCTCTCTGCTATACAGCCACCTCCCTGGGTCTTCTCTTTACTTCCCTCCAGGTTGAATTATGGATCAGGAACATATGACATGAGTATGTGCACCATGTATAGTAATTACAGTGTGTTCTCACTGTGGTTACTGAAGAAAACTACCAAATAGGAGCTACTAATTCCTATTCAGTGATGACATAAGACCACTGATCACCATCAACCCATTTATTTCCCTACGTTTTTTTTTTTTTCTTTAACACAAACACGTTGCTCTTTCCCTTTAAATAAGCAGGTATGAATTCTTAAATAATACATGCACAAATTCTTGGGGAGAGGCCTAATATTAGAAATGGAGGGAAGGCTTTAAATCAAGTGGCTTACTATTGAGTTAGAAACAATTCACTACAGCAAGCCAGCTGGCAAAACTACTTCCAGTTTGTGAAAGAAAAAAAAATGGTTTAACATTTGAGTCACTGTATCATTTCACACACAAAGACTTCATGTACATACCAGAAAGACAAGCCTTACCACATTTGCATGTATCCTTTTATAGTTGTTGTGATTTTGCCAAGTGCTTTATGATCATTTTTTATTAGCTAGGGCTCTCAATAGTCCTGTGAGGTATAGATTAGTAGGTAAAACAGGTACTCTGCATGATGAAGCAGGAAGTGAACTCTCTAGAGACATTTCATTCCAAGAACGCCTGTGTGGAAGAATGCACTTTCCCCTGTTTGCTGGAGGCACCAGGAAGTAAAGTTGGCCTGCAAAATACTACTGAGCCATTTTAAAAAGCCATTTTCTTCACAAAGCACATATATATCTCTTCTCTCTCTCTGCCTCTTTCTCGCTCTCTCACTCTTGCTCTCTCTCAGTCACTTGCTCAACAAAAGTGAGCAAGGCTCAACTGGGTTTATATTTCAATTCAAATGTATTACCATATGGCATCTCCCTCATTGATATCTATACCCAAATTACAAGCAGTCTTAAATATTTCTGAAATCATACATTTCTTTAAAAGTCCTTTGTACAAGTTACAGGGTAAACAAAAGCACTTATATAACAAACTTAAAGAGTTTGTTATAAAAGCTAAAAGAAATTTAAAAACTTGTTACTTACTCATTTTACAAATAATGAAAGCTAAAGTTGAGAGAAACTTTCCTAACATAATCAGTCCATAGACAAATTGTATCTTTGGGGAAAGACAGTCTGGAAATTGGATTTTCTGGTTCTCAAAGATGAAAAAGCAAAACTAAAGTATAATTTTCTATGAACATTCATAAAAACAGAAAATAGGCCTTATTTTATGAATCTTGGTATTTTATGTCATATATTTGTGAAATTAATCTCCATTTGACATAGAGTTTTTAACCTATTACATTGAAATTACATATTAGGAAAAGATTATATGGTAGGAACTTTTTTACACAAGATGGGGATCTAGGAAAAAAAAGAGGTCAATGAATATAAACCGTCTACACAGGCTGCATGTTATAAGAAATGGATGCTAGAAACAGCCGCCTTGGTAGATCTAAATTAGCAATTACCTTATGATGGGTTCAATCACTCGCCCCTAAGCCAATGTTCAAATATTATCATCTATTGTGTATCTATTGTGTCTCCTCCGGCTCCAGGCTGTGCTATCTTCTCCTGTAAGTGGCCATTGTCCTGTCCAGACCTTGCGCTCTTCCTCTCAAAAAACAAAGCCTCAAAAGATGCTGTCCTTTTGCTTCAGCTTGTACTTTTCCTGCACTTCTAGACAACTCTGTGTCCTGGCTCCCAAACTGACTTAGTTGGAGTACCTGATATATATTCTCTAGGTAGTTATAAAAACTAGTACTTACTACTCTTCGAAGAGGTTCATTTTCTTTGCCCAAGAATTCCAATCCTGTGAACCTTCACTATTACCATCATAATATTCAGGAAGGCACTGAAGTTCTGGGGGCATGCTTTCAGCCCATCTATAAATAGAGATGACTGGCATACTGAGAGCCCAATGATAGGTTAAACTTTTCTGACTCAGGTTATCAGCTGCATTGTCTCCTCTGGGCTTGCTTTAATGATTCATTGTCCAAGAAGACCTTATGCAAAGCGAAAAAGAGAGTCCTATTATTTTGGTAATATGTACCAAAAAGTCTAAAACACATAGCCAGAAAAAGCATGCATAAACTCAACCAAGAAAAGAAGAGTGCTGTATACTTGTAATCACCAGGAAGGTACTAAGATCCTTTCTGGTTGCCTTACGTTCTATGACACTGATTCAGGGCTCTATAGGAGGAGCCTGGCAGCTGAATGAGGCCAGGACACGTTCCATAGGATCACTGAAGTGACTTTTAAGAACACCCCAACACATCCTGAAATCAGACCTTAAGCCCTGTGAACATAAGGGTAGAAGTCCCCTCACTGTACTGGATGCACTTGGTTACAAATAATTCCTGCAAGAAACCCGGAGTAGATTAGAGCTCAGTTTCTGTTGACTTACTTTGTCCTAGGCTATCCAGTCAGACTCATGCATGTGCTAATTAATGTATTAGGACTGAAGCTTCTTAGGCTGAGATTCTCCATGTAGTTTGTTTGGCAAGCATAGAATTAAGTTTAAGTTGTAAGTTTATAAACACAATATTAATTGCTACCAAATATTAAGGCATGTTACAAAAGACTCCAGTCATCAATGAAAGAGAGCAGCAATATTTCAATGGCTACCTCACTATATCTCTGTTCCCACCTTTTAGTGCGGGAATTCAAAGCATAAAAATAAAATAAAATGGTGAAATGTCAAGAAGTCTCTAATGACAAGTTTAGCTATTCCCACGCACCTCAACACCAGATTATGCTGCAGTGCCCTCTTGAAATCCCTCTCAGGAAAGGCCATCATATAAATTCAATTTTATCTTCCAAACTTAATCACTCTGGAATCTAAATATATTTAAACCTGGCCCTTTTAGGCCCCAATTACTGGTGTCCCTAATTTCCCAGGACAGCCAGAATGTATTGGACAGAAAGTTTGAGAGGAAAAAATATGATAGAGAAAGGATGTGATGTCATGAGGGAACAGGACTGGCAGTTTGCAGTTAATATTGTGTGCATCGCTACTTTTAGTGAGAACCGTCAAGCACATTGCAATGAGATTTTGATTTTGAGATACTTGTACAGAAACGCACAGAACATCTCTTGTGATGCAAGTGTTTTATTCAATGGTTTATAGGGGTTTAAATTTTTTTTCTCGTATCATTTTTCTTCTCTTTTCATAAATATAATAAGGATCAGTTTCAATTTACTACTGTTCCCCAGTGTGATTTTCAGTAATGCTCCATTTTCGTCCAAAAAATGTCACAAGCTTGTAAGATAAGTTATGTGGTCTTCTTGAGAATAGTTGCCTATTTTTTTGAGAAATGAGAAAGAAAAAGAAGGAAAGAGGAAAAATATGTGCCAAGAGATTTAGTACATATTTTGAATATATTTTTCATTTCATCCTCATAATATATCAGAGTGAGGCCAAGTGTTTCTCCTTCTCTTATGGGTTAGACTCAGAAAGATAACTTTCCTAAAGTTACGTAAGTAGGCTTCAAACCTAAGTCTCCTCTTAAGCCATCAAAGCATAGGATTTTACTAGGTGAATCACAGTTAGAATAAATAAGCCATTCAGATAGTAGCAAAAATAAAGAAATAAATTACTTACATTCCTAAAAACTAACCAGCACTCTATTAGCTGTCCTGCCAGGGTGCCTGCTATGTAGAGCCACGGGACCCCCAGCTCATGCCAGCCACAATTCCAGCCAACCAGCAGAAGTCACCAAGTATATATAGTCTACATAAGGGACAACCATATAACAAGACCATGTCTTCAAGTTTAGGAAAAGTAGCTGTTCCACCCAATTCATAGAAACAAGCACAGAAAGTCAAGCAAAATGAGGAGACAAAGAAATATGTTTCAAAAGAAAGAACAAGACAAAAGCTCAGAAAAAGAACTAAATGAAATGAAAATAACCAATATGCCTGATAAAGAATTTAAAGTAATGATCATAATGCTCACCAGGCTGGAGAGAAGAGTGGAAGAACTCAGTGAGACCTTCAATAAACAGATATATAAAAAAGAAAACAGTAACTGAAATAAAAAAATATGCTAGAGGGAATCAACAGATTAGCAAATGCAGAAGAACAGATTAGCAATCTGGAAGACAAGGTAATGGAAAGTACCCAAGCTAAACAATAAAAAGAAAAGAATTTTTAAAACTGAGGAAAGGTTAAGGGCTCTCTTGGACAACATCAAGTGAACAAACATTGGCATTATGGGGGTCCCAGAAGAAGAAGAAGAAGAGGAAGAAAAAGAAGAAGGAGGAGGAAGAGGAGGAGAAGGAGGAGAGGGGGAAGAGAGAGAGAAAGAGGCAGACAGCATTTTTGAAGAAATAATAGCAGAAAACTTCCCTAATTTAGGAAAAGAAATAGACATCCATGTTCAAGAAGCACAGAGTTTTAAACAAGATGAACCCAAGGAGGTCTACGCCATGATACATAATTAAAATATCAAAGGCTAGCAGCACCTGGGTGGCTTAGTTAAGCTTCCAACTCTTGATTTTGGCTCAGGTCATGATCTCAGGGTCGTGAGATCAAAGCCTACACTGGGCTCTGCACTGTGCATAGAGCCTACTTAAGATTCTCTCTCTCCCTCTCCCTCTGCCCCTCCCCTGCTCTTTCTCTTGCTCTAAAAATAAATAAATAAAT